AAAATACTCTTATAACTAACTTGCCCTTAAACTACCACAATCAGAGGCTCGACGACTTTGTCAAAAACAAGGAAAAAGATATAACCCCTAAAAAGGCTTCACAATTCTTAATAATTCTTTTCAATTTCTTAAGGCCAATAAAATATGCACTTAACCTCGGGAAATTGAACAAAGTGGCAGCATGAATTCAACAATAACACATTTGAGCAGTATGCTAAAAATAATAATAATTAATTCAAGACCTAAGCATTAAATTAACAAACATAAATCTCATATTTGCAGCATATACTAACCAAATATATAAACGGCTAAAACTCCACCCAGCAAGCCACTTACTCCAATTATTTATTAAAATCATCTTATCATTGAACTGGCATCAACGTTCAAAATACTGGATAGTGCGAATTCCAACTGTCCAATGGCAAATCAATAAGTTCTTCAATATTTCGAGGCTGGATTTGCTTAAAAAAATTTTCGAATAAAGCTTCAGAATATACACAGTTTCCAACCCAAAAATGCATGGAAATACAATACGTTTACTGGGTAATATTTTTGGAAAAATAGCTCCACACTAATAGGCAAAAAGGCTCACGAACNCCAACGAGAATGGGACTTGTAAGTTGCCCGATGAACACGATCGGGGCTGAAAGGGGCTGCTCGCTGAACGGAAAAAGGGACTACTACTAAGCGATGCCAATGTTCGAGGACCCCGACTGCTCGATTATAAAGAGTTTGATTTTTGGTCATCGACGACTCGTCTCAGCCGCACGAGGGTCAGGTTCGGGTCTACCCTTGCCGAAAATTGGTGTTCTTCAACCGCCAGAGCTCGTCGGGGTTCGTCGGGGCTCGCGAAGGTCGTTTCAGCCATTGTCGGAGGACGGGGCTAAACAAACCTCGATCGTCGAGAGCTCGAAATTGCTGGACGATAGTCGGGGCTCGCAAACCATCGTGGCCCGATGGGAATCGAGGCCGGAAGTTGCTGGAGACCTGGCCTCGTCGGACGTTGGTCCCGTCGCTTGCGGTGGTTGCAGGCCTATGGCGGAGCGGACTTCTGCGAACCGGACGAACCGGCGGGTTGCTGCTTGAAATCGCCGACGGTCAGCTTTCTTTGGTGATGAAGAAGGACGGACCACCGCTCTTGATGCGCTGCCATGGTGAATTGCCGGTGAAAGCGGCGACAGGAGGATTGCGAGGGTCAAAGGACTCGCCAGCGGCCTGCTACAGAAGGGAGTTTCCCGAGGAGATAACGGAATCGAGGCTCGACGTCGGAGGTTGAGGATCGTCTTGAAACTGGAGCTTCGATCGTCGATGGTTGGTGGCTCGCCGCTGGAAGCTCGTTGGCCGAAGGAATTCTCTGAGGAAGGTGGGTTTGCTGCTCAATCGAGAGGATATGAGGTAAGGGTATGATGGCTTCGATCGATTATAAAGGGGATGCACTAAAATCTGTTGCAACTGCTCGAAAGAATTGGGGAGAACTTCTATCGTCGATGTTGCGGATTCGCGAGAGAGAGAGAGAGATACGGGGAGATTTGGGAAAGAACCGTTCAACAATTTTGCACGAGGAGATAGAGAAAATGGGTCAAGATTAGTNTCTTTTGGGCTGGAAATTATATCAGGGCCAAAGAGATTGGGTTGGAATTGTTTAATTAAGTTAGGAAGTACAACTAAAAGAATAAAGGGCCATAATTAAACAAATAGGCTAGAAATAAATCGTTTTGGGCCGAAAATAAAATATACGTGATATTGAGAGTTTTCGATCGATTCGAATGACGATTAATAATAAATAAAAATTAAGTGACTTATTAAATTATTAGACGAGAATATCCAATTAAATAATAATAAGTCTAAACGAGAAATGTCGAGCAAAAATACGATATAGACAATTAGGTAATTAATACTTTTTGACAAATAAATCATATTAGACATTTAAAAAATTTTAGCATTCAACAAATGATAATAACAATAACAAAAAAAGGCAGTTAATAATAATAAAAATAATAAATAAATAACTCCCAAATATTCAATAATCAAATGGGGCATTACAGACTGGGAACAACACACGAACAGAACTGGATCACAAGAACGGGATGACGGGATCAGGTCGTGTCGGATCTCGCGGTCGTGTGGGCTGTCGTGCGCTGATCGGATCGTGTCGCTGCAGCTGCTCGTGTCGCGATCGGCCGAGCATGTCGTGTCGTGATCTGGTGGCGCGTCGCGGCGGTCCGTCGGCTCCGGCTGGCAGCGATCAGCGACTGGTCGACGGTCCTCGGCTTCGGTTCGTGGATCATTGACTTCTGTGGAAGATCACCGGGTCTCGATTACCTATGGATCTTCTACTGTATTACTCAAACACCTTCTTCAACTTGTACCAGTGGAGCAACAAGAAGAAGATAAAGCTCGAATGAGATCTAGAGTGAGAGAGATATGGGACGGCCGAATTTCTCATGTGTAATGTGATGTATCTCTTCTCATGAGCTTAATGATGTATATACAGAGCTACAATAGGGACCCGTAGGAAATTAGGAATGTGGCTCCTTAATTAATTAGACTAACTGTGGGCTGCTCCTTAATTAATCTGACTAACTGTAGGCTAAACCCACTCTTCTAATTAATTAAATAATATTATGGGCCACCAACAAAATATTATTGCAGTCCCTTTTCCTAGCCCAAATAACATTTGAGACTCCAATTATAATTACTCGATTTATCTCCCCACATTTAAGATATAATGTCCATTAATTAATTCGATTACTGACAATCAAGAATTATTTAATTTATTATTATTCACCGAAGCTATTGCTCGTTCATCACA